TTTTGGCAGAAAAGAAAAACATAGCAAGGGCTCCTCCAAAATGTGCAGAGCCATGGTCTGGTCTATGGGTGTACTGAACACTTGATTCAGCCCGCATCTCCCTGCCTGCCTTCGGTCATATCGTGAAGATACAGACATACCTTCCTAGGTGAATCTGTGGCTCACACAAGTGTGACCCTGGTATAATTCATCCTCGCTGAATGTTCTCTGGAAACAGAGACCAAGCACAGAGTGGTGAATCCAGTTCAGGGAAATATCTACACGTGCACACAGTGAATCCCTCTACCCAGCCCTGTTTGGGCGAGCCTGTCATTGGGTTTTTAATGGGGGATGTGGGGTCCCTAATGGGGTCTGCTCTGCACCTCAGGGCTAGGGCAGGATCTCTGATCTCTCGGAGGGGCTGCCTCTGCTGAGACTCTCACCATGTTTCTCCTTGTTTTCCAGGCCGCCCCGTTCCCCAGCCAACAGGTAATTTCCATCTCAGTCTACCCCTACGAAGCCCCCTCCCCCTCAGGGACCACAGGCTGTACAGGGAGTCCATGGAGCGGCTGTCCCTGCCCTTTCACCCCAACACTTGCCCAGCCCAGCCTGGCTGGGAGCTGGAACATGGAGCATTTGCAGTGAGGAATAGGAGGAGTCTCCATCTCCCTCATTAATGCCATTTGGGCCAAACCTAGAGCTACTCCCATGGTCAGAGCATCCTGGGCCCTGCAAAAGCATCTCCCCACCCGGAGGCTCCAGATAAGCCTCTAGGGAGGCCCTGGCACCTGTCAGATGCCCCCCCGGCCCTTCTCCAGTGCTGCTAGTCCCTGCCCTGTGCTGATGTCTCCCCTCTCTCCCTGCAGGGCTCCTCAGTTAGATCCTGCAGCTTCGGGGCCTGCATTGCCCAGCGTGATTCTCCAGCCCCATCTCCTGGCACCTGTCCCTGTATCTGGAGCTCTTCTCACTTTCCCTCCGTCCTCACCTGGATCCCTGGGGATGACTCCTCAGAGTTAGCCCTTTATCTGCCTAAGCCTACAGCACATCTGCACTCAGAAATGCTACTGCTTTTGTGGGGACCTCCAGGGGACTCGTATCTGAGACACGGGGAGCTGTAACAATGCTGTTTGCAGCAGTTGTCACAGCCCTTTGGATTGAGACTCCCGTGGGCCCCAACTTAAGCTAATATGCCCCAGGAAGGACCAGTATCACCCTCAGCCTGAGCGGTGGAAACATGTTGTTAAGAAAGGACAGGACGGAGGAGCCCAGTGATACCCAGGGAACACATGCTCTACCCTTGGGCCAGGGCGGTCCTGGGGGGTCTCTCAGCTTGTAGCCACCTTGGTGCAATTGAGATCTGGTAAGCCTGGCCTCGAGTCCCAGGGTGTCCCGTGGGGCTGTTGGATAGAGGCAGGTGGGGGTTGAATCGGGTGCATTGAAACATGTGCTGGAGCTTGTGCTATTTAGTTGTTCCTGCTACTGCTCTGGATCACTCCTTGGGGACTGGAAAGGAGCAGGTTTCTGTCCTGCTGGGGGTGATGGTATTTCTTACCAATAAATTGTCTCACCAGTGTCTGCGGTGTGTTGAGCCCTCCCTTTTCAGAGCTCCATTTCCCTGGGTGTGTTTCTGAAGCCGTGTGGGCTTACAGCCCCGTGCAGCAAAGTCAGGCTCCCCCACACTCTCCTAACTGCATCTGGTGTTTCCCTCACCCATGGCTGCCATGTTCATTTTGATGGTGGGAGTTGCAATCAGGAATGAAATAGCAGTGAAGCTCTGACAGAGGCTGGCCTCGGGGGTGCCACCAATCCTGCTGTGATCCACAGGCCTTGCTTCAAGTCACCTTTGGTGCCTTCCCCCTGGGCTCACCCCACAGCTCTGCACAGGCTGTGCTCGGCTCCCCATCAGCAGGTGCCAGCAGAGGCTGTCCCTGGGGCCTGGCCCTGAGGGCTCTCCGCTGGCTTTGGAGGACATCAGCTACTGAGAGCGTGAGCGTGTGAAGGTGTTGAACATGCAGGTGACAATCTCTGGTTCTTGTTCCTTGAACCTGCTAATGGTAATACAGGTCTCATGTCCCTGCATGGTCACAATATAGTCTGTGCTGGCCGGCCTGGCAGCTCTTTCCCATTCTCCTGGCTGTGCGTGTTGGTTTCTGAGTGTCCTTGGACATCATGAGCATGGCTTGTCCCTTACTGATGGTCTGCGAAAGGGGAGATCAGATCAGAGCACTTGGGAAAATCTGTTCTAGAGGAGGGGACCTGTCATTTCTAGCACAAATGAGGTGAAGGGTGCGATTCCCTAAGTTGGCAAAATTTCCTCTGCTGTGATCAGGCACTGACTGAATGAGTCCGGTGCAGCTGAGGCACTTTGCACTGAAGAGTTGGTCCCTTGGGTCTAGCTCTCATCTGTAAAACAGCAGACAGCAGAGAGGGGTCTGGGGCTGAGGGACTCCTGTGAAGGTGTGAGGGCTCCCCAGGGTGTCCTACAAAGGATGGTACTCTGGGCTGGTGGGGCACCTCTGAGCTTGAGGTGAGGGCAGGGATAAGGCTGGGTCTTTTAGAAACTGGGGGAACCCATCACAGAGAGATGTGCCTAGAGCTGCGCTGAGACTTGTGACCCAGGAGAGCAAGGGCCATGTCCCATCCTGCAGCTCCAAGTCGTTGGAGCCCCTTCATCCCCCTCCCCAGCGGGAACCAGGGGGTCTCCCACACACACTCTGGAGACCCCAGGATGAGGAATTTCCTGAGGGCTGAGGTCACCGTCCAGGCCTAAAAACACACAGCCCTCCTTCGTGTATAGAGCCCCTCATGGACTAGGCCGGGTCTAGGTCTCTTCCCCCAGGGGCAGAGGGCCCTGTAGCCAAGTCAGGCAGTCTCCAGCCCCTTAACTGCAGCTGATGCCTCCTCCCTTGTCATGGCTATGCCATAATTTCATAGTTTCATAGTTGGTCAGGTCGGAAGGGACCTGAGCAGATCAGCAAGTCCGACCCCCTGCTATGGGCAGGACTGGATGCTGGGGTCAAATGACCCCGGTTAGGTGTCTATCAAGCCTCCTTTTGAAGACCCCCAGGGTAGAACTTCCCTTGGAAGTTGGTTCCAGGTCCTAGCCGTCCTGACAGTGAAGTAGCGCTTCCTGATGTCTAGTCTGAATCTACTCTCAGTCAACTTATAGCCGTTATTCCTTGTTACTCCCGGTAGTGCTCGGGGGAACAGGGACTCCCCCAGTGCCTGCTGGTCCCCCTTGGCCAGTTTATAGATGGCCACTAGATCCCCCCTCAGTCTTCTCTTGTGGAGGCTGAACAGGTCCAGGTCCCATAGCCTCTCCTCGTAGGGCCTGTCTTGGTTCCCCCAGTTCATGCGGGTGGCCTCCTCTGGACCCTCTCCATGTTGTCCACATCCGTCCTGAAGAGCAGCGCCCAGAACTGGACGCAGTACTCCACCTGTGGCCTGACCAATGTCACGTAGAGGGGGAGGATCACCTCCTTGGACCTGCTTGAGATCCATCTGTGGATGCATGACAAGGTGTGATTGGCCTTCCCGACCGCGTCCCCACACTGTCGGCCCATGTTCATTTTGTCATCAATACTGACTCCACGATCCTTTTCTGCCTCTGCACTGATGAGAAGGGAGTTCCCCAGCCTGTAGGTCTGCTGCTGGTTCTTCCTCCCCAGGTGCAGCACCTTGCACTTGTCAGTGTTGAAACCCATCCTGTTCTCATCCGCCCACCCCTGTAACCTGTCTAGGTCTGATTGCAGCCTATTCCTCCCTTCCCGCATGCCCACTCCCCCCACATCTTTGTGACCCATCTGACTGTGTACGTGTCGACTCCACAATCTCCTTATTTTTTAACAAGAATGGGGTGAGAGACTGACTAGGTCCTCTCTGACCCTGGGCCTGGCTGCGCCTCCCCTGGGGCCACTGGGGATCCCGGTGGTGGGGATGACCTGGTCCCTGCTGAGAAAAATGGAGGCAAAGAAATCGTTAAATAAGTTAGCTTTGTCATCTGGTGTGACCACCAGATTTCCAGGCGTGTCTTTCATAGGCCCTACATTACCCAGTACCTTCTTTTTACCACCTTCATATTTAAAAACGGATTTCTTGTCTTCCTTGATCCGGGTTGTTAGTCCCAGTCCCATCTATGCCTTAGTCTTCCTGACTGCCCCCCTGCAGCCCCGAGCAACTGTAGTCCTCCCTGGTGATGGCCCCTCCCTGCCATTGGGTGTACGCCTCCCTTTTAGCTAGGAGACATTCCCATATGCACTTCATTGTGTCCCTCCTCTGACCCAGTGCTGCTCATTGAGGATGTGAATGTTCTTTGACGTAGAGCGGCACACGCCCTGCTTTTCCTCCCTCTTCTATCCCTCCTGTACAGCCTATAGCTCTTGATGTTCACCGCCCAGTCATGTGTTGGATCCCACCATGTTTCAGCGAGCCCCACTATGTCTGTGTCTGTGTCAGCTAGCAGGAGGGCAAATTCTTCCTGCTTGTTCCCCATACTACGAGCATTAGTGTATAGGCATTGAAGGCCTCCTGAAGGTGTATGCACCACCCCTCTAATCCCAGGACTATCTGGGTCTCTTACCTGGGTATTTCTTGTGCTCATTGTCAGTCTTGGCTGGGCTGTTCTTGTGGGTGACACTTGGTCTGGTGGAGGCTCCCTCCGATCTCGTCCTCCCCTTCCCGCAATGAGCATAGTTTAAAGCCCGCCGGAGGAGATCGGCCAACCTGAAAGAGAACACACGCTTACCTTTGGGGGAGAGGTGAAGCCCATCCCACCCGAGCATGTCTCTCGTCTTGAAGTATGGGTCATGGTCCAAGAAGCTGAAGCTCGCCTTGAGACACTCTTCACAAAGGCGCAAGTTGACCTCTCTGACGCAGGTCTCATGGCGTTGTCCACGTCTGCTCACTGGAAGGACAGGTGAGCAGACCACTTGTGCCCCTGTCTCCTTCAGCTTGCCCCCAGAGCATGGTAGTCCTTCATCAGGTGATCTCGGCTTCCCCTGCCTGCATCATTAGTGCCCACAGGAATTAGTACCATGGGGTAGTAATCAGTGGGCTGGATAATGGCCGGGATCACCTCTGTCACATCCTGAATCCTCGCTACGGGCAGACA